CCCCTTCCTCAGGCCCTCTCCTCAGGCCCCCTCCTCAGACCCCCTCCTGAGGTCTTCTCAGGCCCCCTCCTCAGTCCTCCTCCTCAGGTGGGGCGTCCTTGACTTTGACTCATACAGTCTGCCTCTGACCTACTTCTGAGGGAGGCAAGTGTTCACACACCCCACTAGTGTGGTTCCCTGGTATTTACGGTTGAAACGAGACCAGTGGTGATGGGCGGCCCTGGGCAGCATGCCCATTGCTCACCACAGTGTCCCCGCAGCGTTAACGGCGTCTCAACCCTGGAGCCCGTGCGCCAGTGCCAGCACCTGAGTGAGCTTTACCTGCGCAAGAACCGCATCCCCAGCCTGGCCGAGCTCTTCTACCTGAAGGACCTGCCGCGCCTGCGGGTGCTGTGGCTGGCCGAGAACCCCTGCTGCGGGTCCGACCCCCACCTCTACCGCATGACCGTCCTGCGCAACCTGCCCGGCCTCCAGAAATTGGACAACCAGAGTGGGTGCCTCCCCAGCGTGCCGGGACTGGCCTGGGTGGGAGACCACGGGGCTGTTATGCTATTCCAGAGCGGGTGCCTTGCTGGCATGCCAGGACGGGCCTGAGTGGGAGACCACGGGGCTGTCATGCTGGTTAGTCTAGGGACCTAGGAGGCCCGAGATTCGACACCGCATCCAGAACAAACTCCTGAAACCCACAGCAGTGCCAGCATGGACCTGAGCTGGGAAGCTGTCCCTCCACATTTCCTCTTCTCTGCAAATTCCTCAAGACACATCTCAAAGGTCTCCTCCTCCATAAAGTCTTCTCAAGGAGGAGCTCCCAACATTTCTTCTGCTTATAATAGTGTTGGTGTGGTTTCAGTCACCTGGCCGTCCCTTCCAGGCCACGAGCCACCCATCTCTGGGCCCTGCCCCTCACCCTGCCCGGGCACAGAGCGCCCCTTCATGCGAACACAGCACGGCTTGGTCATCCACCCGCTGTCAGGGCATTTGAGCTGTTTCTTTTTCTTTGAATAAACTTTAGTGTTTAGAAAAGCTGTAGGTTTAGAGAAAACTGTGCACAAAGTACACCAAGAGAGTTCCCATAAGCCCGCTCCCCCCACTGCACATGGTTTCCTGCTAGCAGCTCGGATTCCACTTCTTGTTTTTATCCTGTCAAGAACCGTGCTGCTCTAAACCCTCATCCCTGGGCCCCTGGCGAGCCTTGTGCAGGTGCCGGGAGTGTGGTGTCGGGGCGTGCAGGTGGTGGGACCGCTGGGTCACGGGGACTGTGTGTGCCCAGCAGCCTTGACTGAACTTGAAGTCGAGTGGCTGTGCCATCTCCCCCCACCCCAGCAGGGAGGGCACTCCTCATTGAACCATCTGCAGCCTGTGCTCTTCCTGTTGGGGGAGTGGGTACCTCCCAGAGACTCAGTCTGCATCTCCTTGTTCACCCAGAAGGCAAGCACCTCACCAGGGGCGTGGCTGCGTGGCGCTGTCCGTGAAGCGCCAGCCACTCCCCAGGGGGCTACGCCTCCTCCTTGCCCGCCCACTGGCCCTCTGTGAAGGCCAGTTACTAATCCTCATCAGTCATATGTGTGACAGGTGTCTGCTTCCAGAAGGGTAAATAAGCATCAGGGGAGCTGAGTCACGTGTCAGTGAAGTGGCGTGAATATGGTCTCGTCTGTCCCTTTTTATTAACGTTTGCCTTAATTGGGGGTTTTTACGAGCATTTACTTCTAGCAAATCCTGAAATCCAAGTTTCCAGGCGGTCGTGTGTAGCTAGTGCACGAGCTGGGGACGCGGAGGGGCACGACCGCCTGACCCCGGGGAGCCAGCCCCCTAGGTGGGAGGACACACACGTACACGTGTGCAGACAGACCGCACTGAATGCCTCGGGGGTGACCGGAGCCACGGTGTGTAGTTCAGTGTCAGGGAGCCCACCCTGACGCTCTGGCCCCTCTCTCTGCTTTACCCCGAAGCTGTGACCGAGGAGGAGCTGTCCCGAGCACTGAGGGAGGGGGACGAGATCACCACTGCCCCGGCCAGAGAAGACACGGAGAGTGGGCGGCCCGAGGCGCCCTTCACCCTGAGCTCTATGGACCCTGCAGCCGAAACCGAGCAGGATGCGCTGGGCTCCAGCGCCGATGAGGCCAGGTGTGGCTCATGGTGGGTGAGGGGGTTGGGGGCCGGCCTGACACCTCCCCTACGGAGAGTCAGTGGGTCTTTTTCTGCCCTGCTAGGTCCTTTCTTGTATTATTTGCGTTTCAAACCATGTGGGTGTATTTTTTCAGCCGTTCTTTAAAAAGTCTCTTTTAAGAAACCATATTTATCATACAGCAAGAGAGACGAGAAAGAAGGGTGGTCTGGGGACTCCCATGGCCTCTGGGTCTGAGGACACTGGGAGGGGACTGTATGCCAGGACGGGTGTGTGAGTGCAGGCCACTGAGCCCAGAGTCCAACAACCTAGCATCAAGCTGTGAACCCCCCGGGCCCACACGGGGCCATGTGTGTGTTTAGTGCCTCCCACCCCAGTCTGCACAGGAGGTGTTCCAGCTGGGAAGCTGGGGTGCAGAGAGGCCGCCCCTGAATGGGATCAAAGAAGTCAGGATGACGCCAGACCCTGCCTCACCCTCTGAGCCCAGTGCCCGGTCAGCCAGTTGGCCCAGGGTCCCACCTCCATGTCACTCCGTGGAAGCCGGCCTTTGTTCTGTTGTCTTCCATTTGCTGCAGTGGGGGGTCTGTTTTCATGATGGGGGAGTCTGCACTGTGCTCCTGGGCGCGGGGACCTGGTCCCCCAGGCCCCTCAGGCCCACTCCGCGTGTCCCCCGTCAGCAGCAGCGTCCAAGAGCAGCTGGGCATGAGGCTGCCAGCCCGGAACCAGCCCTCCTCCTTCCCGCCCCGGGAGGCTGCCCCCAGCCTCAAGAACAGGGTGAGTGTGCCCGGGCACCCCGACCCCTCCACCCTGAATGTGGAAATCTGACGGGGGCGCTTTGAGACACTCCAGGAAGTTGCACCAAAGCCAGGCCCCGAAGAGTGGGAAGCTGACCCTGGGGGCCCCCTATCTGGATCCAAATCTGAGCTCACGAGAGGAGGCATACACCTCGGAGAGTTGAGGCTCTGGAAGGTGCCCTGGCCACCTGAGCAGCGGACAGAGGTGGCCACAGAGGGGGGGCCGGGGGAGGCAGCTGTGCTAACACATGTGCCCTCAGCCTGAGCCAGGCTTGTTGGGAAGGAGAGAGGCCGGCAGGAGCATCCATCCAGCCGCGGGGCCCTGGGCTCCCCCCATGCTCCCCCTGCCTGTGAGCCCCCCCGCCCCGGCAAGTCACGGTCCTGCAGAGCTTTATCTTCCTCCCCCATGAGGTGACCAGGTCAAGCCCCTCGATGGTCTGTGATATGCTTTTAGCCACTGGGCGCTTTTCTAACAAATTCTGGGAGGAACCCCAATGCACGCACTATCCAGGAGGGCTCTGCTTCTTTGCAGCTGGGGGTGTCTGGAGCCCCCTCCTTTATTCCTACCCACTTCTACTCTGCTCCTGAGGCCCCACAGAGCCCCCAGCCTTGTGGGGATCCAGGATGGAAAACATGGATTCACCTCTGTGCCTTCAGCATTAGAGTAAGCTCACCAGGCTGTGAGCCCCCCACCCCACCAGACAGCTGCTTCTGCAGAGGAGAGATGGGCAGATGCTGCTCCTCTCTGGGTGTGGGGCACAGCCTGGCAGGTCATGAGGGGGTCAGCAGCCAAGGACACCCTGGGGACACGGGGAGGGGGTGAGATTTGAGGGACTGGAGGCGGGGGTGCAGGCACTTAGGTGGACAGGAGCACAAGGTGCCCGTGACTCTGCTCCAACGGCACCTGGACCCACGAGGTGACCTTCCTGGCCTGTGTGAGCGAGCAGAAGAGCGGCCGAGAGGGCCAGCTCACCTCCTGGTAACGCACAAGGAGACCTGGCTCAGGTGGCTCCTCGTGGCAAACCCCTTCCCGCATCCTCCCAGCAGGGGCAGCGCATGTGTAGCTGCCAGGTACTTGTGTCTAAGAGCACACGTCAGGGTGCGTATCCCACAGCCACCACGTGGCCGCCCAGCCCCACTCTAATCCCCGCTGCCTCCTTGCACCTCAGTTTCCTTGTCTGTAGAAGTAGGTGGTGGACACAGGGCCACCTGGGACTGCGGGGGGCAGCAGGTTAGCAGGTGTGAACACAATGGAAATGTCTGCGGTGTGCTTTTAGTGTGTTTTGAGTCTGTGTTTCATATTTCAGTTCCCTGGAAGGCCCACCCCCCGCCACCCCCCCAGACTCCCTGCTCTCCATGACGTGAGTGTGGCTCGTCCCCAGGATGGGAGCGGCCCACGTTCCTGGGCCAGTGGCTGTCACTCAGTGACCCCTCTGTCCCCAGAACAATGTGCTGACCGCCATCCTGCTGCTGCTGAGAGAGCTGGATGCCGAGGGCCTGGAGGTCGTCCACCAGACGGTGGGCAGCCGCCTCCAGGCCCTGCACAGGCGGGAGCTGCAGGAGGACACAGAGTGACCCACCCAGGGCCTCAGCCACCGGACTACGCCAGCAGCACAGCCTCCCTGCCGTAAGTCCCAGTGCATCCCCTGGCGTCCTCCCCAAGCATCCAGGAGATGGGATGCCACAGTCATGCTACAGCCCGCAGCTTCTGCCTGCACCCTCGGCTAGGAGGCGCCCTCGGCTAGGAGGTGGCCTTGGCTGGGAGCCAGCACCGGAACCGCGTCTGTAGGAAGCCACACCGCAGTCTACCGACTCCCACAAAGGCCCTGGATGGCCACCCAGGCGGAAGAGCCCAGGCCAGCAGTCCCCAGGTGCCTCGCGCTGCCATTCCTCAGTCTCATCCCTGTGACCGCGAGGATCCCGGCTGGACTGGGCGCTTCTTACGTTGGAAGGCTTTGAAGGCAATTTCCCTAATAAAGTATTTTTCCAAAATCTGATCTGTAGGCAGACATGTCCAAATATGACACTGCTGGGGAAAATTCTTTAAAGATAAATGCTGTTTCTCTCAGCAGAATGGGGAGATGCTCACGGCTGTTCTGCCCATTTCAGCCCTTTGCGCACTCTCAGCGGCCAGGGGAGTCTTCTAGAAGGCTGGTCTTAGGCCCCCCAGCACCCCCCGCTGCAGCTCCAGCCTGCTCTTAAGGATGCGTGGTTGTCATTGTGGGGAGGGAAAATGGTCTTTTCTTTTTACGTCTTATAGCCTGCTGTGATGCAGGGTGTGTATGCTGGCTACCTTAGCCAGGCCCCATTACTTCCATTTGGGGGCACAGGTGCAGCCACGAGGGATGCAGCTGTGGGCAGAGGAGAGCCTCCTGGAAGCCACATCTAAAATACGTTTTCCCTGTGACGAGTTGGCAGGTCTCGTCACGATGCCCAGCATCCAGGCAGTGAACCTGCAGTCTGGGGGCCTTCCTGAGGCCTGCAAAAACCAAGGGCACACCCACGGAAGGAGTGAGGCTGTGAACGTGTCCGAGCCACGACAAAGAATGGCCAGCTCATGCTGGTGTGTGTCGTCGGGCTGGAGGAGAGAGAGCTGGCGTTCCCTCTGCCCTCTCCTCTGGCTGGGGCTGGGGCCCATCTCTCTGTAAGCTGTCTCACGTTAGCTTACGCTGACGGCAAGTCGAAGGGATGCAGGGTACCAGTGACGTACGTGCAGGCAGCACAGGCTTAGCTCCCAAGCATGGGACACTTGGATGGCCGGGCCGTCACAGGAAGACGGAACTACGCTAAACCATTTTAAAGCCACTTCTAAAATTGTCAGAAGCCATTGTGACGCTACCTGTGGAAGACCCAGGGTGAAGGTGGGAGGCTTTGTCTGTGGGGTGATCGTGTAAGTTCCCTGGACGTGGAGCTTGGTCTCCGAGTTGTGGGCAGCGAGGAGTGGCTATGTGTCAATGCCAAGGCAAGGCTGTCACAAGGCGCCCATGTGTGCCTCCTCTGGTGATTGACAGAGTGCCAGCTGCTCTCCGTAAAGCACTCTCGGTCAGAACAAGTTGGTGGGTGACATTAAATTAGGAAAGGCCCCTCCTCCCCTGCCCACCATACCTGCACCGCCAGAGATGCCCTGAAGGGGGCGCCACACGGCTCCCCCGCGGGCCGGTGCCTCCCTGTCCTGGCACAAGCTGTGAGGGACTGCTGTTCGGACCAGTCAGACCTCGGCCCCCCACCATCGCCTCCTCGCCTTCCCTCCCAAAGCCGCCTGTTCTATTCTCGGCCCTTTGACGCCCTCAGGCTAAGTTGGAGGATGAACTACAGCAGTCCACCCCACTTCCTCTGTTCAGAGGGGGCACTGAAGCCAGTGGGTGCTGGGAAAAGTTTAACAGCCTCCTGGGAGTAAGGGGGCTGATGTGGGGCATTTGCCGATTTCCATGGTGTAAATACTCCCACCATGCTGAGCTCCGGGCCTCCAGGGTCAAGTCACTGAATGCCAAGTTGGGCAGAGGCGCCTGCAGGCACTTGGAGCTGACTGAGTGCTGGGGGGTTGGAGGGCTGGTCACAGCAGGTGCTTGGTTAAAGGACCACCATCTTCCTCCAGAGAAGTCTCCTCAATCTTCCCAGGGAGCGGGGGCTGGTGGCACCCTCAGCCTACAGGATCACACCCACCACGGCCCCTCCCTAACCATTTCAGCCCCTCCCACCTTGCTCGGAGCCTGGTGTCCCCTCTCAGTCGCTTCTCCATGCTGGGTGGGACCTGGGGTCCCTTGGGGCCTTATTCAGACCTTTACTGCCCCCTCGTACGGTACTAAAAGGTGAAGCCAGCAGTCCCCTGCCCCTTCCCAGCCAGATGACCTTGGCTAACGCTAATGAACTCCTAGCCCCTCATTTCCCAGCTGTCCAATGGGGGAGCAGCCCCACCTCATCAGAGACTGTGAAAATTAGATAAGGGAGTGAATGTCGGGTGTGTGGCCTCCCCACACGTGTCCCTAGACACTAGTTCACCACTCCTGTCATTGTTTAGCCCATTGTTGAGGTTCAGATGCTTTGCCTGGGCGTTCTGACCCCTCCCGCCGGTGGAAGAGTCCAGCTAAACCTCGACACCCCAGGGCCTTTTAGCTCCTCTCTTCTCAGACACTCTCCACATGGAGTCTCTTGCTCTCCTCTGGGAAAAGGCTTGGAAGAAGCACTCCAGGAGACCCCAAACTGCCGAACACGCCCCCCAGAAACCTGGGTCAGGCACTGGGCCCCACTCCCAGAGCCCAGGCTCACTGCCTCAGGAAGCGTGACCCTGGACGCTGGGCCCGTCCTACGGCGCCAGAACCCCCCAGCACATTGCACTGAGTCACTGGATGCCGCCTCCATTAGCCACCTGCCCGTGGAGCCTTGTCTCCGGTCTGCTTCTGAGACCCCCAGCCCACACTGAGTCTGGAGAACTGTTCAGGGTCTCGGAAGCTGGAGGCCAGGCCCAGAAACTCCCGAGACCGGGGCAGTGCCGTGAGGACTGGGAGCCTGCAGCCCCTGTGCCCCTCAGGACACAGCCTCAAAGCCAGGGCAGGCCCAGGAGGGGCTCAGGTCACCCGGCAGGGCTCAGGAAGGGCTGCCCCCAAGGGCATGTGTCCCCGGAGCCCCGCCCAGCCTGGGGCCAGAGGAGGGCCCTACAGTCCAAGGTGGGGAGCAGGGGCTACCATCCACCAGGGCAGCCACACGCAGTCCCACCCTCCCTCCCTAGAAGGTTCTAAGAACTGTGTTCCACAGTCAGGATGACTATTTATAGAAACGGTGCCAAGGACTGGTCAGCTACAGTAGCCAGCTTGGCCACAGCAGGGTCACAGTGAGGTCCACGAGCAGCAGCCCCTCTCAGAGGCTGGCGGGTGCACTGGGCTTGGTGGGCACACCCCGGGCTAGAAGGCGGGCCCCGCAGGCACTCTGGGGGCAGGAGGGGCAGCAGGGAGAAGGGCCCATGGGCTGGTCTGACTGACCTGCCCGGGAGGCCTGGCTGCAGCAGGGGCAGAGACAGCTGCCACCACCCGCCCTCTTGCCCACAGGCTCCCGGGCTCCTCTGTCTCAACGCCTGGAGCTGCATCGGCCTGGGTGGGACGGACGAAGCCGGGGAGGAGCTCCGGACGTGGCTCAGAAGCCCTTGTCGATGCTCAGCGTGCGCCGGGTGACGTGCTCCAGCTCCCCCGACACGTAGTCGGCCATGCTGATGCGGTAGTGGGCCAGCATCTTCAGCATGAGCCGCAGGTTCAGCCACCACTGCTCGCGCGGCATGCGGTGCCTGCGGGCGGGCA